ATTATCCACAAACTACTTTTACCAAAATATTAGGTGCAAATGTATGTTTATGTTGATTCACTTCCACATTTATTATATTATATATAGATACGAATAAGAAATGGCTCAGGTTACGTAGAGTGAGTCCAGGGTAAAGAGGAATTGAATTTCAGAGCGATGCCTTTCTCAAAGCTCTAATAGTAAAACAGGCAACGCTTAGACCGTGGATTCTCTTATACTTTTAACAAAAATAAACTAGAAATGAAAAATATTTTAAAAGCAAAGTAGACATAAACATTAAAAAAATCATGACTTAGTCTTGGATTTGCTGAGTATTGGAAGGGTCTATTGTAAAAATTAAGATGTATCATACGCATCATGAGTTCTACCAAGTTTGTAACGTCTTCGCATTTTCGTTCACTCGATAATACTTCTGGCGGATCACACATTATTTACGCATGGGAATGCCTGTACCAAATCGATCAAAAACTGCTTGTTAACCTCTTTACGAAAAATTTGTTTTCTTGTTTGGGTTTCGATTCTTATTTATATTATATTATATAAAGAACTGTATTTTTGCGTCTGTTATGTGCTCCGAAACATAGGACATCCATTGAGATTTGATTAAAGTTTTATATTTTCGACTCGGAATTTTTAAGTTGCATCGTCACCCAAAGCATGCTAAGTACCGTAGAAAAGCTGAAGCCTTCGATCCTTCCAATGTTCTTTGGGAACACTGGCGCTTTATATCCGATAAAGCAATTAATTCTGTACTTTTTAACTAGAGTATGTATTTTCTTCTTTTTGAAGTTTCGATTTTAAGCTTTTCCTGAGAATCGAAACTAAGGACGCTGGTCTGTCCTGCCCACAAAACTTCTGACGGTGCGCCTTTCGCATTAGGTTAGCATATTATCACATGTTCAAATCATATGAACTTCACCACTCTTCCCTCCGAGTCTTTGTATATGTTTTACATCCGGTACTTATGCCGTTGGGCTATTCAAATGGCTGGCTTCCAGCACGAAATCAAGTGCTTTTAAGTTCAGATTCGAACCTAGATCAGCACATGTCTCTGGATTTAGCAGGAAAATACGTTGCGCTATCACAGGAGTCTTGTTATACGTGTCATATTACTTCAAAAGCATGTGTGCAACTGATCAGTTTACGAGCAGAAGCTCTAATCTTTTACTTGCCTTATCCATTGTATTCTCTTCTACCTGGCTTCTTCTTACTCTCTCCAGGTCTCCTTTCAACCTCATAATTTTGGTCATCACAGGAAATGCGGAGTGTGCTGTTGTCCACCACTGTGTACCACTAATAGTGGTACGGGAGTAGCTATCGGACACTTTCTACTTAACCCATATAAGACTGCCTTCCGTGTAGCTAAACGAAAGCATATGAGATTATACGAAAGATATCATTTTCCGTTAACACTCCGTCTAAGGAGGGTCGTGTCGTTATGTCCAGGAGACGTTTTAGGCGGAAATAAACCTTCCGTCTATGGCGGGCTCAAAATTCATTCTGGCCTTAGGTGAGGAGATAGAACTCACTAGGCCTCTGGACATAATGATAAAGGCTACTTAGCAAACCTTCGTTAAGTGCATCGTCATTCGCATTCCTAAATCTCTCACATGGCCTAGCTTGTACGTTTGGCATCAAGCCCGGTCTCTCTGTGTTTATGAAAAGAATATCAATGAAGAAGACCATCGATTAAGCTATCAAAGACAAAAGGGCGCCGACTAAGGTGACACGAGTATAAGAAGCGCCAGGAATTGCCTGCGAGAAAGCAAGCCAAAGAAAAGAAAGCCTCTCTCATTTAAATTTCGGTTGTGAAATTGCACAAGCTCAGGGAGAATGCCAAAGTGTACCGAATCACAATAAAAAACAGGCCGTTCTCAATTTTAATGAACGCAATGCGCTTTTGAAGCAAGGAGAGACACTAAACATAATTTTTGAATGAAGCAGAAGGAAATCCATTGGCCCTATCTATGAACTGATCGAAGAATGCCTGAAGATTAGGGAAAAATTATAAATTACATAGGAACAAAAAGGAAGAGTAATACAGAACCTTTTTCTAACCCACCCCGGGTTCGACAGAACCGAATCTTCGTACGAGCGGTAAATGCTGAAAACACTCTCGGCGTAGCTGAAGTCCGAATAATCAGCAAACGAATGATAATTGCAAAACTATCTGGTTTGGACGGCATTCCTGTGGCAGCCACAAAACTATTATTCAAGGAGATAGTGGCGAAAGTAATCACGAGATGCCTGAAACTATCATTTAAAAAAAAGACAGAAACGGCCGCCAGCTGACGCCTGTTCTTGACGATTTGCTTGTACTCTCGGAAAGCATTCCAGAAACCTTCGTGGAAAACTGTGCGCGATGACTAAATAAAGGAAACTCTCCGTTGAATTTGTTACAAGTAGTTGCGGAGCATCTAAAGTCCATCAATTCAAAGCGGCCAAGAGACATTTCAAAATAACGGTGGAAGTTGCGCTTGGACCACTATTATAGAACATTGTCTATGATAAGATCTTACATCTGAGGAATTTGCTCAGGGACGTTAAAACGATAGCGCACATTAACGACAGCACGCGCGACGGTACGCGCGAGCATACATGATGAAATTAAACGGTGTTCTGAGCGATATTTTGTTATGGATTGAGGATAACAATATTCATTTGGCTAATAAAAGGAGAGCAGCAAGACGGCTATTTATGAGGAATTGTTAGAAAGTTTTTGCAAATAATACACCTAAACTTAGGTTATCTACGCCGTAGCGAATCGGATTACGTTTTGGGCAGCAAAATCTAAGGTTTAACTATTACCTTGGAGGAAAAGTTAAAATATCAGGTTTTGTATGAAAGATCTATTAGGGGTTCCGGAGCCATTTTGTTGGTCGAAAATTTTGAATAACTTTTTAAGTATGCACCATTATCAGGTGAAATGCGGTACATATTTATAACATTGGCTACCTATGACGACAGGGCGAATAAGGCATATGCAGCAAATCAAGTTATTAATTAAATAGACCAAATTATTATTTTTTTTTAAACACAGTAACCATATTTAATTTCTACGTCGACACGATATCAAATTCTAATCATTTTGGAAACGAAAAACTAATATTCTACTCGTAAACTGAATTGTAAAAATATAAAAAATCAAAGATTTTCCTTAAAATCGAGGTTTGTACCTGTTTTAGGTAGCTTAAAAGAACAAGTTTTTAATACAGACTTTCGAATTACTGGGATATCGAGTTAATCGCCAAAAATGGGCTAACTCAGCCGAATAAGCAATATGCTTTACAAAGGAAAAAATGTCTCTCGTAAAAGTATTCAGCCTATCTTAAAAATGTCAGCTTATCCCGGTGTGAAACTTTACCGGTCCAGATGAAGTTAGTTTAGGACAACGACTCTAGCGTCAGATAAGCAGCCAAAAAGAGACTCTATTTTAGTAACATATACCAAAGTGGATTGAGATTAAAACTAGGGCGAGTGGCTACCAGGAGTTTATATATATATATATATATATAGTGAATAATAACGCTGCTACGGGTTTATTACATTAGACAGACCCTTAAATATTTATTCCAACTACATTTGTTTAGAAATTATTATACTGTTAATAATTGTCCTGCACAGCTTTACATTCAGCTGCGCTACCGGGGTATGTTTATTGACATATCAGCATATTCTTCAGGTTCACTACTGAACCCAGTTGGGGCAAACCGATAACTACATGGTGCCAATCGGTTTACGTCAATAAAAGACCAAAAGTAGAGTACCCGCAACTTCTCGGGTAATTCCTCAATCACCGTTTCACTTTTACCTGCACGTTGCATCGACTTGTAACACTAGCGGGACGGTAACGAATCTATTAACGGACAAACCTCAAAAAAAAAACATGAAAGTGAGAGAATCCTTCTAAAAGTACAGCTGCGTGGATGCAGAAGGTATAGTCTTGTATGAGAAATAACTGGCCACCTGCTGGCATTTAGTCAGATGTCCGACAAAGAATGGAGATATGCTGTTTAAGAAGCGAAAAATCGTGCAGGTGCCAGCGATCGGGACATATGTGGAGGACGCATGTGTGTCCTAAGGATCTCAAGAGTCAGAAGCTGTGAGACATCTCTGGCTGAGGGTATACCAAAAAAATACTGTCTTCCGGCACCTTTATACTCAGAATATTTTTTGAGCAGAGTAACGCGACTACTAGCAAAACAAAATTCAAACGACATCTTTCTCACGCTTGGCCTAGTGGAGATATTGTCCATATCAACAACTTCAAGAGCAAACTGCGTAGCCTATCTGTGACCGTTTGAACCAAACCCTCCAATAGACCGTCGCATTTCGGATGTCCGACTGTCGCCCTGATGTTTCCAATGCGGTTTCGCCTATGGTAGTCCAGCAGCTCCCACTGCGTAAAGTAGCTCGCATTGTCTATCGCAATCCAAGCCCCTAAGGAATAGTTCGAGGCTGCCGGCACCTAAATCACCATATCACGCGTCGGCTTCAAGATCGCCACGAGTTAAACAAAATAGGTATAATAATCAACCATCAGTAAAACGTTGAAAGTCTTACTGTCCGGGGCATGCAGCGGGCTTATACGGTTTATGCCCACCCTTTAGGAAGAACGGTCTTGCGCTGACATCGGATGAAGCGCGTCTGCACAACCTGTTTGCATCCCCTTTCGACCCAAGCTAGTATTGTCCCTAACTTCGTCTTCAGCTCCTGCCGGAGGTAACACGAGATGAGCTATTATATTATCTTGAATTTCAGCAGCCGGAAGGCTCCTCATCGTGAAAGTAATTTTAAGCAAAATCCTTCGTATTAGCTGCTGTATAAAGTGGGTTCGAGATTTACGTCAAACTCCGTATAAACCGCTAGTAGCGAAAGGTGAAACCCAGAAAAGTCTTCAACTCCTTAGCCGGCGTCGGGGTAAGTGTGTTTTCTGCTACTAGGGTATTCTCAAGATCCGGGAAGATCACGGCGGCTGTGATCCTGTGGCCCAAACATACCACCTCTTGAGTCATGAAAGTACACTTCGTTGCTTTTAGCCGCAGGTCGATAGTGTCGATAGTGACCAGTACCTTCTGCAGATGCACTAGGTGAGTGTTGAAGTCAGGTAAACAGATTATGATTTTGCCGAAGTAGGCGAAAGCTATCTGGTGGTTTAAAACACCGACGACTTCGTCAATAGGCATGATTGCATTAACGAGACCGAACGGCATGTATTTAGAGTGGTAGAGTCATTGTGGCATGCAAAATGACATTCTCTTTTTGTCGCCTTGGTACATACTGACCTGTAAGCATTCGTTAATCAGATCCAGGTTACCGAAGAAGCAAACGCGAGTATACGTTCCGGTTCGTGGTGGCATGTCAATCAGCAACAGTCACCGTAAAAGCGCAGCAATTTGTCCTTTTTCTTCACGAGAACAACGGGGAAGGACCGAAAGCTGTACGACGATTTAGTGATGTTACTTCGCAAAATGACTTGGACCACGTCTCTAATAACCTGCCTCTTCATGGGGGTGATTGTTTATATTTGCGCGTAGACCGGTAGTGAATTACCAGTCGGTATCGTGTGTTAGGCAAGATCGGTTTAGGTAAGTTGATCTAGCTGCCAGAAGTGATAGCCTTACTAGCCCACGAGAAGCTTTCTAAGGCGGCCATGTGATTTTGCTGTCAACCCGCCGCTTAGTCTCACAGGACAACCTAAAAAAAAAGTGTATCCAGTAGGATAAATTACAAGTCGATGGGAATACCCTTTTCAGATTGTTTTCCTTGATAGACTAAGACTTCTAGGGAAGGAACGGTTTGCTTAGAAACAGATTCTTCGCCGACTTACCGGCGACAAAAGACTGCTTTTCCAGCCGTCTCCGACCCCAACGTTAACCAGCCCTCGAACGGCTAACCAGGTGTACTGGTACTTTATGATGGGCACGAACGTATCTTATCTATTATTATCGAAGAGACTGTGACTTTGACGAATACGTTTGTCTCAAAATCGAATGTTTTTCTTCTCTATTTTTTTTGGCACCCTGATTTTTTTTGGCTATATGTTTCAATGTAAACAAATTCTCGGAATCACTGCTTTTTAACTATAGCATGAAGGACATCCTCAGATGTACGCAGATCTCGTTGTACGCAGTTGGACATTCTTCAAGCACTATCTTCCGCAAGGTCTTCTATTATTCGCGGGATTCGCGCAAAAAATTTGCGAACAAATAGTTCAGTTCTTGATATGTTTGCTTCGAATCTCCATTGGAACGATCTCGCAAATTTGCTTGCGAGGTCTTTGTTGATGACAATAACATGATTGTATGAGAAAAGCCTTATACACAAGCTTTTAAAAAATCACTCACTAAGTGAATGAAATATTTTGTAACAAGCTATCGGCCTGTAGTTCAGAAATCGATTGTGAATAATTCATAGAAGACATCCTGGCTACTACATGTCTTTTTAAGCATCGTGGCAACTTCTCCGAATAAACACGGCTTTATGAAGGGCTAGCCAGCAGTGATTTTAATTGTTCCAAACCTGGTAAATCGAGCAGTCGTACCTTTTACGTTTTAAGAAGAACCTCGAAAAGAATCCCCATATGCTCCTCCTCCATATATGAAAACATTCCTCAGATGCTCGCCAAGAATCGTGTCTTTATATTGTTTTGCGAAAAAAGGATCACTGCTAGTAACCTGTAGTATAGGCTTTATGAGGCAGTTCAAAATTATATGGTCCATCATTTAATAAATACGATCGCTTCTTGCTTCAGGAAGCGGCGGGTGCTCACCGATACGATGCACAATCAGTTACATGGTTATTTCGAATAAAAAATGAATGACCTATATATTGTTCATCAAACTAAATCCCAAAAATAATTTCGAAACAACAGTAATTTGATTTCGTCTTTTGCTGTAATCAGTTGGCCTGAATTTTTCAGCAGTTTGTGGAAATCTCAAAATTGCTAAAAATACATATTGATCTAAAGGGAATCACTTACTTAGGAAAACATGTGGGTTCCGTCAATCGCGTGCGATTAATTCAACTAGCTGCGCTTATACGTGGAGCTAGTCTATTCTTTCATCCCACATCTAAATTGCACTCTAAGGCAGGCGGCATAATGTACGGAAAAATAAATATAATTTAAATTCACTTTTTTTGTAGCTGAAATAAAAGCATTAAAATCATATCACAACATGAAACACGCTGGTGTTTAATTCATTGTAACATTATTTATTGCTTCAAAATCTAGGTCACCCTTTAGGCAAGCAATTCCAAGAGCACTTATCGCTCTTCCACTGCGTAGATTATAATTGATTTACTATATTTAAATTGACTAGCTTATTGAACATTTTGATATTGATGGTTTACAAAATTCGTTTTTAGCTTTTCTACAAATTCTATATAAATGCAGCATCTTGCACTCATCCCACATAAAAATCGCTTCTACACCTTCTCAAATGCTACGATGGTTTTATTGCCAATCATATCCGCCGAGAGCCTTAGAGAAACTGAAAGGTATTCAATTCAAGTGACATTTAATCATACTTCCCAATTGCGTGGATGTAGTTTTGTGGTTATTAAAATGGTGTTGCTTGTTGCAGTTTTATGTAGAAACAGCTGAAAATATAAGCAAGTATGAGTTTTTCGAAGATGTTGTACGTAATGAGGTTTCTGGCTACAGGCCTCTAGTTGTCACACTCTTCATAACGGCGACGAGAAATAATCTAGAAGGACTCATCCAAAATGGAGGCAAACTTTCTGTACTTAACTGAGAAGATACCATTAGAGGTGAGGCTATATCTTAATGGCAATGACCTGACTTCAATAATGATAGACTCAGCCGTTATACCGATTGATGAACTATATAAAATACATTCGTCGAGATCGTACCTTACTTAACTTAACTTAACGTCAGAATTAGTGCGAACAGAAATGAAGATTCTTGCCAAGAAATTTTTGAAAGCCTCGGCCTATTCAGTATCACCATTTAAACGTACCAATAACCCGGAAGGCACCGATATTTGTACCTCTACAAATTTGTTTTTCCATATACTTCACAACCTCCCTTAAGTTTTGAAAAGAGAGAACAGGTTTTTTTAGGAATTCTGAGCCTTACCGACGTGCTTTTCTAGATGGCCTGTGTATCCGGAGAAAAATCGTCTTCTGATTTACTGTAACAATACGGCTCTCTATATCTTAATCTTCTGGCTTGCCTTTTACACGGGTATAAAGATAGCGAAAAGATAACGTGGATATTACAAACAGCGATCATATATCCATATTGTAAGAAGGACTAAAAAAAATAGGCTAAGATATCGGAAACCAGCTAACCCCCATAACATCATGGTTCGCACACCAAAATGATTACTTATACTACACTAGACCCGATCCATAATAGCTAATACGTTAAATATCATTTTTGAGAAAAGAAGGAAATAGCGCATCCGCTAAAAGAAAAGATTACTTAATATTGGGAGTTAGAACAAAATGGATCAGCGAATAGTTAGATCACTATGCCCTTCAGCTAATTGTATAGATTCGTTTAAGAGACAAGCATTGATAAAAGAAGACAGTCAACCAAACGGCTGTTGCTTCAAATTAAACGCATCAGGTTAAATCTCTAATTATAACTATAAAGATGAGATCGCTGAAAGATGAAAACATCAGCAATATGATTCTATGGGTAATACCACATTTCGCATTGCTGAAATAATAGAATACGAACCATTTAAGTTCTGTGTAAGCAAAAACGTAGTAACTGCTTTATACTGTCTAAGAAGACCGACAAGACAGGTTTTAAATACTTTTTCACAAGAACGTCCTACCTTTGCTCCTCTGACGCTCCGATAGATGCTAAGTGATTACCGAGAGATTCAAGTCAGTGAATTGAGTCAACTAACTACTACTCCATAATTAGAGCTATATAAATTGCACAGTGCAATAGAATATCGGAATGCACGGGTGGACTAAGAGCTATTGGTAAGCACCAGGTTTGTGTATAGAACGAACGTTGTATTAAAGGCAAGCGAGTCGGCTCGAACCGGGTGACTGTTTGACAGACCTACAACGCTTCGATTCGAGAGTCGTCTCAATAATCAAATTTCGTGATGCCAATACTCTGTAAATTCGCCAAAAGCGAAGAGGATAGCTGAGGAGTGACATGACATACGAATGGTGAACGATGGTGTTCGCAGACGTCAAGTGTGTGAGAAACGCGTTTTGGTAAAGAAATCTATTGCTGGGTGGATGACGAACAGATGTCGGACTGAAAGGCTTCAGATAAAATTGATATATATCGATTATGTTCTCTACGGAAAACTGCGCAAACTACGGTACACTGTCCACTTGTCTTGAGCCAAGTGTGTTCTTGCCTGCATAACTCGTTTTTTTCTACTCTAGAACGTAGGGCACAGGAGCAACTGAAGCATCAGGCGAACGGTACGGAGCATTCATGTGAATCCTAAGACACCAAGTTATTTCTTTCACAACAACAATTATTTAGTTAGTGTTTTTGATTTGTATCAAAAATAAAACTGAACATAGGGTATATATTATAGATAAATAGCAGTACCTGTAGAGATTTTGGATTACTTAATATTAATACCCATAGGTCAAACCTCATGTAGCTTGGAACCAGCCAGATAGAACACGCTACAACAATAACAGGCAACACAAGCCATGCTCTCACGAGATCCAGACCTATAAATGAATAGGTTAGTTTATTTTGACAATACAGTTAGCTATCGACCTTCATGCTTAATAAACTGAGGTAGCACAGTTCAATATCTAAATTTGTTTCAGGCCATTTGCCGTAAGCGCCCACAAGATGTGCCAGTTCTCATTTAAAGGGTTCCTCTCACGTTGAAACCTGTGACGTTGGTGGAGCCCATTGGGTCTGTTCGATCAAAGCAAGTGAGCTGCGTTTGCCACTCGACTAGTACTAACGACATAAATGAGGTCTAAGTCGTCGATGTTTGTCAAAGATTACAAGAGGGCATCAGGCAGCTATTTGTAATGTTTAAGTATTTGACCAACCGCATACGCCTTAGTTTAATCAGCACACGGAATACAGCATTTATAGCTAAGGCTTCAGTACAGGGCTGAAAAAACTCGGAGCATAATAGTGAAAAAACAGGTGCATGGCCTATGTAAGTCTTCAATAGTAAAATTCAGGAGTTAAAACTGAATGCCCTATCGATAA